TTTAAGGAAACTGGTAAATAAATTCCCTATTCCAACAAACATGGAAGGGAGCCTTCTCTATGTGACCAGCCCGATTCAACAATTTGCCCCTAACTTCCAAATTTGTAGCACTGAGTGGGTATTGGTGGTCTTCTTGAATTTCAAACAGAAACGTTAATTTACTCAGGTGAGGCAAAGAAACTTCGCTTTGATTTAAACTAGCCGTTCAAAATCTATACCAAAAGTCAAACATGGTGACAGTGCGTGATTCTGTTTGTAGTTGGAGAATAATCCGTGAAGTCATCGTGTCCATATGACATACATGTATGTCATATTTAAGGACTCAAAAGCCTAGTTGTTACATTTGGCCTGTACATAAAACAGAAGTCCACTTTTATAGATTTTGCAGGAATTGTCTCTCCTTTGTGTGCCTACGGATTAGCAAGCATCAATTCCTTTTCAGAATGTTTTCCGTAACACAATTCTGGGTTCATAGTTTGAACAGAAAAATATATGCAATTAAAAATGTCTTCTGTGGATGACACCACAGCAACATTATCCCAGTTGTGAAGGAAAGCATAGAAAATTTTAATTATGTCTTGAAAGAAGAGCACTTTGGAATGAATTTTACCAAATAGGAAAGTAAATGGGTTTTGAAAAAGAATACAAAATTGGAGAAAATACAGTCTGAGAAAAAAATCATTGTAGATACACTTTACGAAAAGTGTTCTTCGCTTTGAAATGTACAGAAGAGAAGAAGACCTCGTATTGCAACTTGGTAGCGCGTACTGGTGAACATGCTGACAAAAAGGGCAGAAACGTCATTAACGGGATGCTTATAAATGAAAAGTTGTTGATGAAAATTCGGTTGACCGGCGGGGAGGAAAATATAGATTTTAACCGAAGAGCCGTACTTGCTTCATTATAACCACTTAAAAGAATGGAAAACCTTCGTTTGTAATTTCATTTATTTAAATGGCTTAAATTTCAAGGAAAGCCGTTTTGTGCCAATAATCTATTACAATATTGCAGTTTCTTGTTTATTTTAACTGCCCAAAAGCCAATATAAAAAGTCTCCGGTTTCTGGTCAGTTTGCACGTCGACCGAAGACCTGTGTGTCATCAAAATAAAAAAAAATATTTGGTATAAAACGATGTCCAAAGGCTGCCAAACTTGCTTGATCGACTGGAATCCTGCTACTGCGTAAGTTCAAAGCGTTTTTGGTGGAGCACGGTTGTGTAATATGTACAGTAAAGGATTTTCTTTGGTTGCCCATACGTTCAGTCGGACACTCTTTTTCAGGTGATGTCATTTCTGTATTATTCATTTAGATCTGGATTCAGACAAACGAGGTGATCTCAAGTCCTGTGTACATGTACAAGCTTAAAATGCTTTTAAACAGTTCAAACGTGCGGGGCCCAGTCTACCGTATTTTAGTGTCGGTAGCGGCCAGCGTTACGTGTATAGATGCAGTCGAGATGGAGATCACCCGTTATATGTACATCATTTCCTGAAAAACAGGTGATGGTGAACAAAAAACCGCGTCGCTGCACCACTTTTGAATCCATCTCCTGATTAGAAACCTAAG